CCACCAGAAAAAGCTGCAAAAGTAACCCTTATTCCCTATGCCTCACGGGTGCACAGAAGACAGGAACTTCCCCCTCTGTTCCCCAGAGGGAAACATGAAAAGGACACTCTTCCCTCACTCCTCCTCAGAGAGGTGGAATGACTTTCTCGATTGTTGAGTTGGAAACAAGGAACTGAGCATCCCTGGCTCAATGCTTTCTGAGATCTGGTTTTCTGTGCAGGTACTCTCTTATATATATTATTAACACCTTCAATTGTCCTGCTACACTGATAAGTTTATCTTCCCCAAGAGTAAAATATTAAGAAGTCCATTGTGGTTGCATATATGAGCCATGCCCTGTCTTCCAGTGTTTGTCATGAATAAAGTAGACACTTTGTTCTCCATCTCTCTCATTTGTCCCTAAGCTCAAGTGCAGAAGACAGGAAGACTTATTTCTTCCTCTCAAAATCCCCAAAGGATTCATTCCCAGTCATCCTACACAAAGCTAGTCATTTCGGAAAATGTAGCAGAAACTTATTTCACTTTTTTCCCTTTCTGAGAACCCAACTCAACCCAGGTGCCATCTTGCCAAGACTCAGGGGAGTAACAGGGAGTCAGGCTTATCAACATCTGAGAGCGAGTCTTTTTTTTTTTTTTTTTTCCCAAACCTTCTCCACTTCCATCTTCTCTCCTGTGCTTATTAAATTCTGGTTACCAAACATCCTACCTTAGTTTACTATTAACTTCATTTTTCCTCATTACCATCTCATGGATAACTAGTAGGGGTCTCCAATATATGGTGGAGTAAGCTCTGTACAAGCAGCTCTTTTGTAATATTTGGGTGATAAATCTTATTTAAAAATTCAATCAAACCTTTTATTAAATGAATATTTATCAGATATTACCATCTGTGTCTATTATTGGGAGATCTGTTCATTTCATGTTTACTCACAGTCCCCTGTATCCTCCCTGCACTACTTAAACATTTAATGGGCAGAGATACACATTTTTACTTTAAGTCAGATATATATTTAATAGAATAATGGAATACCAGGCCACTATTAAGTGATTGGATTAATACGGGATCTCATTACCAACATTTTATAAATAAGGAAGCGGAGGTTAAGAAAATCCCATGGTCATACAGCTTGAAAGTGGCAGAGCACAGAATTGAATTCAGGTCTGGCTGACTCTTGAGCTCATGTATTTAATGACTGCTATGGTTTTAGGTTGGGAAATGGCTTTGGAGACCTTTTTTTGTTCTAAGCTGTATACTATAAGCATTTTCCCTATTTAATGGAAATTTTCAAACATACAAAAAGTTGAATTTTACAGTGAATACTGACTTAGCCACCACCTAGATTCAACAATTAACATTCTACTATACTTGCTTTAACACATATCTGTCAACCAACCAATCCTTCTATCCATCATGCCATTTTTATGTATTTCAAAGTTGCAGATAACAGTACATTGTCCCCCAAATACTCTGCCATATCAACTAGAGTTCAATATTTGTCTATAATTTTTTCTTTTGAGTTAAATTTTACATATAATGAAATCTTAAGTGTGTTATTCCATAATCCCATCAAAAAAAGCATACACCTGAGCAATCCAAAATCCTCTCACCATGCAGAACATCACTTTAACTCTAGAAAATTCATTCATATCTGTTCCCAATATTATTTCCACTTCCAACCCTCAGAACCAACTCTTGCTTCTGGCTTATTTCCATCATGGATTAGTTTTGCTTTTACTATGACTTCAAATCAATGGATTGATGCAGTATGTACTTTTTTGTGTAAGGTTTCTTTCACTCAGCATGCTGTTTCTATGACTCATCCATCCATATTTTGTTATGTACTTCATGCCTTTTTACTGCTGAGAAGTATTTCATTGTATGAACGTACCACCATTTGTTTATCTATCATCCAACTGAGGGATATCTAGCCTGTTTCCACATTTTAGCTATTATGAATAAAGCCACTGACAATCACTATTCTACTCTCTTCTAGGAGTCTATTTCACACAGTTGATATATGTGGAAACATGCAGTATTTTCCTCTGACTGGCTTAGTTTACTTAGCATGTCCTCAAGATTCATCCATGTTGTTGCATGTCCCAAGATTTCCTTGCTTTTTCATTGTACATATATACCACATCTCATTCTATTTATGTGTTGAAAGACATTCATGTTTTCACATCTTAGCTATTGTGAACAGTGGTGTTCTGGAGTTCATGGGAGGGTAAATCTCTTTTTGAGATCCTGATTTCAATTCTTTTGGATAAATATGTGGAACTGGGATTGCTGCATCATTAATCCAATCCATCATAAAAACATTATTTTTAATGTTTCAAAGAACATCCATACTATTTTCCATAACAGCTGCACCATTTTGCATTCCCATCTACAGTGCACAAGGGTTCCATATTCTGTACATCCCTGCCAAGACCTGTGACATTTTCCAATCCTTAAGAGTGGGCACTATAGATTTATTATGATAAAGTTTCTATTTTTAAGATTGAAATTTACCTCTAAAACTTTTAGTCTACCTATTTTGTAGATAACAGCATTGATGGATATTTAATGAAATATAAATGCATGCATAAAATGTACAGAATCACAAATCTTATTCCTGTAATTTACATAAACATAGAAGATTGCCAGATTTGTGTTAAAGTCTATCTACAATTCACTGTATGCTTAAAACCAGTTTGGATAAGTTTTCATTTTTTTATTCACCAAACTAAACTTTTGCATTCTGGTTTTACTCTAGTAGAAAGAGTACAGAAGATTATCATCAACAATAATAACAAATTTACACTACCTGAGGATTAAACTGAATCAACTACTTTAAAGTTTCAACTTCCAGCCTCTGTGATATTTTCTCACTAAGCAACCACTAGAACCTTCATCTGCAATGGTGAACCACTACGTAATTGAACTACCTCATATCCTCCTCTCCTTCAAAGAAGTATAATATTCTGGCAATTATGTTCAATGTACACATTCAGAGGGGAACTGTAATTAGGTTATAGAAATCTCAGAAATCATTTCCCCACAGGTATTCTCCACAGAAAATCCATAGTTATTTCTTATTTTCAGCATAAGTAGGTCAAAGCAGACTAGTTTATAAGTAGAATAAAGCTAGCATAAAATAGACATTAAAAAATCTGTATCTAGATATTTAGAGATTTATTTAGGTTAAATCTTGTGGCAACACACTATAACAGAACATTGCTGTACTTATATTGACTAAAATAAGTAAGTCCTTGGCTAGGACTTCAATTTTTTTTTGTCATACCAACATTTTTGCTGCAACAACTATCAACAGAATTATTCAAGATATGAAACAAACCTGGAATTTGTAATATCTATGTATTTCATCTACCCCAGAGGTAAATCAGCTGATAGCACTGACTTTGGGGAAAGTCAGCTGTAAGACTTTGGCAACACTGCTCTGGTGAACAATTGAGCTGGTCAATGAGACAGAGAAGCAACTACTTCAGTGCAAAACATTCTGGCCATACTAGAACTGGGATATTGCTTTTCTTAAGACAAATAATGTAGACTAGATAAAGCAGGACAAAATATGTCTTATTAGCTTATGCAGGCTTTCTGAAGCATCTTGCACTACTCTTTAATGTACTCTTAGAGGAAGAGTCTCTTTAGTCCGTACAGAACCCAGCACAGAATTCTAAGTGATTTAATGAATAAGATTCTCAAATTCTATCTTGGCTCATATGTGTTCCCATGCTCACCATGTGTACACCCTAATTATGGCCCCATCCAATTGTACTGTATTTGTTTGCTTGTCTTCCCATCCTACTACAGGACTTAGAACAAAGGCAGGATCTTTTTGTACTTTTTATCCTCAAAGTTTAGCTCCATTCATGGTATTGGAGAAGTGCTCCACAAAGGTTTTCCATATAAATAATGAATGAACAGAACTCACTCCTTCCTCGGAAATGCACTTATATTGTGCCCCAAGAAACGTGGAATTTATCTATAAACTATATTTACACATATTTTAATACTGAATTTGTTGTACATCAATTCATTAAAATAACAAACAGTAAAAAACAGTAATAACAATATACGATAAAGTGTATCCACAAACAGTAAGCCTCCCTTTCCTCAATCAAGTAATTGGTCTTAATAGTTTCTTGTGTATCCTTCAGACATTTTTGCATTGCTATTTAACCTTTCATGAATATATGATTTGTTTCCTGCCTCCCTAATTAGATGCTGAGCTTATTAACTACAGAAAGTGCAGCATATACTCTTCCATATTCCCATAATGTCTAACTCTGTGCTGGACACCTAGTAAGTAAGCAATAAAAACAGCTGCAGCTGTGACGGTCCTATTGACTCTGTTAAAAAAAAAAGAAAAGAAGATAAACTGAAAGTCATGCAGAATATTATGCCAAACCAGGTAACATTTAAGGCTGAAGAGTAAAAGTCTTAGTGACATTGGTTAATAATCCCAGAGTCACAGTACTAAATTGAGTCCTTTTTTTCCTCAATTTACGTAGAGAGGCACTCATTCATTTAACAAATTTGTGTAGAGTAAATTGGCTATATTCTGAGGGATATACAGAAGCACAACATTACAAAGCAAGCATTATTATTACCTTCACTTTATAGACAAAGAAGCTGAGATTTCTTAGTAAAAGATAAGTATTTGCCCAAGATTGTATAATTTGTAGATGGCTGAACTGGAATTCAAATTCAGGCAGTAGGTCTCTAGAGTCTATGTACCTTGAAGGAAAGGAATGGACTTGAGAGTTAATATAAAGGAAATACTAGAACAGGTTTAGCAATTGATTCAGCTGGGGTGTATGTGAAATATGCAGGAAAAACAATCATGATATTTCAAGCCTAGATTTCTCAAGAAATAATCTGAGACAATTTCAGATCAGTATTCAAAAATACACATCTATACTGTATGTCCACCCCATGCAAATATGAAGTGTCATTAGCGATGACTTAACGTTGTGAAACATAATAATCACTCAGCAATTGGTATTACTTTATTTCTTTGTACCATTCTACTATTCATACAAATTTATTGGGAGTTTTTACATCAACAATGGATGACTAGAATAGTATTGGCTAAAGTACATCTTCTTTAACAGACTCACTTGAAGCAGATTAATAAGTGATGCTTCCCTGCACTTAGAAGTTAATGTCTTGCCAAGCTCATACAATCACGAAAGGATCAAATGTTTGTCAGTCAAGTATTCTTTCCTGTAGATTTTCCAGGAATTCAAATCCATATTAACTGCTGGAGAAGACAAAAAGAACAGAAACCACAGCTGGAGTATGGAGAAGAATTTTTTTGTACCAATATACTTTCTGGATCAGAGTAAGTACCCTCTATTTCCTCCTGATATTTAGGGAGCCATTCTCTCTTGTTGAAGGATACCCAATACTTCTTACAAAAAATGCATATGCAGATCTAAGGGTCAACAAGATTGAAAGAAATGATACCACGGTGAGATTACAAGAATACTGTGACTTCCAGAGAGACTGAACAATATGGTATACCATACCAGGATGCCTATGTGTGTTCTCACAAATGTACTTGGCTACATTTGTCATGTCAAAGAAGCTAGAGCCATATCACTCAATTGGATAATAATTACTGCCTGGAACACTCTTCCCCTATGCACCAGGAATCTCCATAAATGTTTCTCTATATATATATCAAAGCTTTCTCTTTACAAAAAGCCTGTCACTGGCAGAAAACCTGTGAAAGAAGGGAAAAAAAGCCAAAGCAACATTTGATGGGACTTGTTTCTCTGACATACTTCTAATCTAGATTTCTTCAATTTGCATACAAATCTCTATGCATATTTGAACTATGGAGACCGAAACAGACCAAGTCACAGCTTTGAAGAAAAGTATCTTTTCCTCCCAGTATATTCCATAAAATGGAACACTTCTGTGAAATAAAATATACTCACCATGGAAGTATTAAAGGACTTAGATATGTTATTGTTACTATTATTAAACTATGCCTGCACAGCAATATACACTGGATAACAGGATAAGAGTATAGGCATACCTCATTTTATTATGCTTGACTTTACTGTGTTTCACATGTATTACAGTTTTTTACAAATTGAAGGTTTATGACAATCCAGTATTGAGCAAGTCTATCAGCACTATTTTTTCAACATTTGTTCACTTCGTGACTCTGTGCCACATTTTGGTAAATCTTGCAATATTTCAAACTTTTTATTATGATTACATTTGTTATGGTGCTCTGTGATCAGTGATTCTTTGATATTATTGTAATTGTTTTGGGATGCCATGAACCACACCCATATAAGATGGCAAACTTAAATGATAAATTGCATGTGTTTAAGACTGCTCCACTAACCAGTCATTCCCCCATCTCTCTCCCTCTCCTTGCACCCCCACTCCAAAACACAACAATATTGGAATTAGGCTAATTAATAACCCTTCAATGGCCTCCAAGTGTTCAAGTGTATGAATCACATACTCTGAATTTAAATCAAAAGCTAGAAAGGATTAGGCATAGTGATGAAGGCATATAGAAAGCCATGACAGGCTGAAAACTAGACCTCTTGTGCCAGTTAGCCAAGTTATAAATGAAAAGGAAAAAATCCTTAGTCCAAGGAGTAGAGGAACTAGTTCCACCTACCAGGACACTCACAGCAGCTACAGCCATGCTGGGGGCAAGCCCTGCCCATCAGTGCTCCGGCAATAGCTGTGGACTGACACTAGAGAAAGGCAGGCTGAGGCATGCCCACTATCATGCCCACAGTAAGTGCGGCTGGGCCTCTCAACCAGCCACTCCAGGAAAGAGCCCTGTCCACCACTGTACCCACAGTAGTCACAGCCACTTACTGCTGACAGCCAGTCTTAGGACCAGCCCTATCCATTGACATGCTCACAGCAGTCATAGACCAGACACAACAGGGAGGTGCATTCAGCCCATACACAACACCCCTGGAGCACCTGGTTTTGGTAACCTAGAGGGATTGTGTTATGAAGCACCACAGGACACCATAAAGCCACCACTTTCAAAATGAGGAGATGCAGCTGACCTACCTAATACACAGAAATAAACAGAGAGTCAGATAAAATAAGGAGACAGAGGACTATGTTACAAATGAAAGAAGAAGAACTAAATGAACCAAAATCTCAGAAAAAAACTAAAAGAACCAAAACCTCAGAAAAAGAACTAAATGAAATGGAGGAGTTAGGCAATCTACCTAATAAAAAAGTAAAAAATACTTTTGACTTTTGAGAAGAGTGGATGAACTCAGAACAGACTTCAATAAAGAGAGAGAAAATACATAAAAGAACCAGTCATAGCAGAAGAATACAATAACTGAAATGAAAAATACACTAGAGGGAATCAACAGCAGATTAGAGGATGCAGCAGAACAGATCAGCAATCTGGAAGACAAGGTAATGGAAACAAACAATTAGAACAAAAAGAAAAAGAAATTAATGATGAGAGGTCAAGCAACCTATAGGACAAATCAAGCAAAATAACATTTACATTATATAAGGGTCTCAGAGGAAAAGACAGAGAGAGATGGGAGCAGAAAAATTATTTGAAGAAATAATAGCTGAAAACTTACCCAACCTGGGAAGAAAACAGATATCCAGGTACAGGATACATAGAGTGTCCCAAAAAAGATGAACCCAGAGAGAGTCACACCAAGACACAATAATTATAATGGAAAAAATTAAAGATAAAAAGAGAACCTTAAAAACAGCAAAAGAAAAGACAACAGAGATACACAAGAGAAATCCCATAAGGCTCAGCAGAAACTTTGCAAGCCAGAAGGGAGTGGCATGATATACTCAAAGTGTTGAAGGAAAGAACCTACAAACAAGAATTTCTACCCAGTAAGATTATCATTCAGAAATTGAAGGAGAGATAGACTTTCTCAGACCAACAAAAATTAAAGCAGTTCATCTCCACTAAACCAGCATTATAATAAATGTTAAAGGGACTTCTTTAAGTGAAAAAGGCTGTAAGTGGAAATAAGAATATTATGAAAGGAAAAAATTTCACTGGTGAAAGTAAACATACAGTAAAGGTAGTAGATTAATCACTTGTAAAGCTAGTTTGAAGGTTAAAAAGCAAAAATACTAAAACAATTACATATACAAAAATTAGTCAAGGATACTCAAAATAAAACCATGCAAACTATGACTTCATATACAAAAAATGTAGAAGGTGGAGTAAAAATGTAATGCTTTTAGAATGTTTCAAATTTAAACAATCATCAGTTTAATATAGACTGGTACATACATAGAATGTTATACATAAACCTCATATTAAACACAAACCAATATACTATACTAGATATACAAAAATAAAGGAATCCAAGCATATAACCAAAGAATGTCATCAAATAACCAGGGAAGAACCAAGAGAAGAAAAAAACAGAACTACAAAAACAACCAAAAAAACAATTAACAAGATGGCAATGAGTAATACCTACTAATAATTATTTTAAACACAAATAGACTAAATGCCCCAAACATAAGATACACAGTGACTGAATGGATTAAAAAACAAGATCCACCTATATACTGTCTAAAAGAGATTCACTTCAGACCTAAAGACACACATAGACTGTGAAGGGATGTAAAATGGTATTTCATGCAAAAAGAAGGGAAAAAAGCTGGGTAGCAATGCTTATATGAGACAAGATTGAATTTAAGACTGTAACAATAAAGATACAACATAACAAAAAAGTGATCAATTAAAAAAAGAGGATGTAACAATTGTGAATATTTATGCACCCAACAGAGGTGTACCTAAGTATATAAAGCAAATATTAACAGATGAATAAAGGAAGAAATTCACAGTAATACAGTAATATTAGGGGAATTTAACGTCCCATTTACAGCAATGGGTAGATCATCTAGAAAGAAAATCAGTAAGGAAACAGTAGCTTTGAATGACACATTATACCAGATGGACTAAGATTTATACATTCCATCCCAAAACAGCAGAATACATATTCTTTTCAAGTGTACATGCAACATTCTCCAAAACATGTCACTTTTTAGGCCACAAAGAAGTACCAATAAAGTTAAGGAGACTGAAATCATATCATACATTTATCATATATCTTTTCCAAATACAACAATATAAAAGTATAAATCATATAGAAAACTATAAGAAATCTATAGAGAATTTTGGGAAGACGGCGGCATGAGTAGGGCAGCAGAAATCTCCTCCCAAAACCATATATATTTTTGAAAATACAACAAATAAAACTACGCCTAACAGAGAGACCATAGGATACAGTACAACAGCCAGGCTACATCTACATATCTACATCTGCCAGAACACAGCTTCTCATGGAGGGGGTAAGATACAAGCTGCAACACAGCAGGACCCAAGCACTCCCCCCACCCCAGGTCACAGGCGGGAGGAATGGAGTTGGAGCGGGAAGGGAGTGGAAGCCCAGGACTGCTAAATAACCAGCGCTACTAATCCGCACCATGAGCACAGATACATATTGCATGGTATGCTGGATATAAGGGAAACAGAAGAGTAAAATCTGCAAGCAGGTCCCCATAGCCGGCTCCCCTGAGACAAAAGAAAAGTGAGCACTTTTTGAAAGTCTTAAAGGGACAGGGGCTTCACTGCTGGATGGAAGCATCCCAGCACAGTCAGCCCAGCAGCTGGGAATCCCGGGGAACTTCAGGCAACCTAATCAACTGGGGGGCAATGCAGCTCTGAAGACACTCACGGCGAAAAACAGCCTGCAGTTGATTCCCCCTGCCGTGCAGCCCTGGCAGAGCAGGCTGGGAGCGGCTGTACCCAGAGAACCTGCCCAGAGCCTCCTCCCAGCGTGCAGCCACCAGGGCCAGATCCAAAAGCCACCGCCGGTGAGCAGCTGCCCTGCACAGGCAGAGGAAGCCGGGGTAGGGTGAAAAGGGGTGCCGTTCTCACAGGAGAGGACACCGGGTGCGTCTGTCTCTACCCACAGGGCTCTGGGCTGCCCCGCTTGCCATAGGTCAGGGAATTAACCCGGAGAGTGTCCTCAGTGTGCGGGTAACAGGCACAGGCAGCAGAGAAGGGCAAGGTGACCAGCAAGAAAGAAGGGACATTATTCTCCCAGCTAATACACATGCTACCTGCCTAGGACTACCTCTATCACCATGAAAAGGCAGAAGAATTTGGTGCAGTCCAGAATCATCCAGACAACCCCTGAGAGAGGGCCTGGGGAGATAGATTTAACCAATCGTCCTGAAAAACAATTCAAAATAAAGGTCATA